CCTTGGCGTGTCCTAACTCCTTACACTATTTGGCCTCTGCCCCCTTCATCTTCCAGGTACCCACTTGCCCGTTAGTCTCCAGCCACACTGGCATCCCTTGGGCCCTTTGAGTATCTCAAACTCATTCCTGCCATGGCACCTTACATGCGCTGTTCCCTCTGCTTGGAATAATTTTGCCCCATCTTGTGTGACTGACTTTTTCTTGTATTTAGGTCTTGGCACAAATGTCAGCTCCTCAGATAGGCCTTCTCTGAGTTCCAGCTGAACTAGCCCCCTCCGTTACGGTTTATATGTACTGTCACGCTATTCCATTTTACTCTTCTTTCTCTGGAATGTCTTTGTTTGCGTACTAACTACTTGTTTCCCCCAGAAAGTAAGTTCCCTGAGAGCGAGGCCCTCATCCGTCGCATCCCCTTGTGTCTCTAGTGGCAGAAACCGCGCGCGGCACTTCACCGAGGCCCAGTGTACGCCTGCTGGGCCGGTGCGTCCGCGCTGATCCTGCAGTGATACTGCTGTTACTGTGATTGCTTCCGTCCTGTAGGTGCTTTTCTGCTTTGGGCCATGTAGCAAAAGCTCGATTCCTGCATGAGACCAATGAGATTGCAGACCAAGTGTCTCGGGAATATGCAAGTATTACCCTCCTGAATTATTCAGTCTCTCAAGCTGACATTTCTCTTCACGCGCAGCCCCACGACCCCTGGCTTTCCAGCCATGGCTCGCGCGCTCCGTCTGCCCAGCCCACCTCCACCTTCGAGTCAGACCGCTCTGGAATGGCTTGCCAGACCTCATCCTTTAAGCCCCATGAAGGTTTTCAGCTTTCTGGTCTTTTAGCTTCCTCGTCTCTGTGGCCTTCCTGTCTAATAAGCTCACATAGTCAGAATGGCTCCTGCAGTGCTGACAGGATAACCAGAGCCTTCTTCCTCCCCCACAGGGTGGAGAAGGAACGGACTTTTACCAGGTCCGAGCTCGCCTAGCCGTGCTGGAGAAGAACTACAAGCTGGCTGAGATGATCTTCTTGGAGCAGGTGATGGGAGCAGAGGGACCAGATTGAAGAGGGGAGCTGGGCGGGAGGGGGAGTGAGGCAGCCTGAGGGGAGGAGAGAGCCCTGGGGGAGAGCTTTTAGAAAGGTTTATGCAGCTAAAATGTCACTCCTTCCTTCTGGCTCTGCTCTGTGTTAGTCCTTATAGTTATGTCTTTATAAGCTGTCTGCTGCCTCCCCATCTGCTGCCTCCCCCTACCCCAGAGCCTGCCCTGGCCGTGCTTGTGCACACAGGCAAATCCAGGATTTGTGGGGCCTGAAGCTGATAGAATTTGGGGAGCCCTCCTTAAGAAATAATGCCTTGGAAGGGGCCTATGCAAATAAGGTGCCCAGGGGCTTAACCTCCTTCGCTTTCATGATAAATCTGCCACTACTTGTGCCTAAGTCAAGGGTGAGGTTTTCAGTCCCTGCGGGCTGACATCACACCCGGGCTGAGGACAGCCTGCTGATCCCAGATGCTCCTCTCACTTCTTGGTGTCCCTCTCTCCTCTGCCCGGGTTCCCTAGAATGCCGTTGAGGAGGCTGTGGACATGTACCAGGAGCTGCCCCGTTGGGATGAGTGTATCGCTGTGGCTCAGGCCAAGGTACTACCAGGTCTGTCTTCTCCATGGTGCTCGCAGCTCAGTTCCACCAATATCCGAAGCCTCTTCTTACCAAGGAGGCTATAGGAGCTGGAACAGGGTCGGGCTGGGAGTTGGCCCGTTGGTGACCGGGAGGCTTTCCGTTGTTACGGTGGGATTGGAGAAGCTTGGGAAGCAGCCCAGGAAGGTGGAGGTGACTTGTCCTGCCTCTCTTGCACGTCCAGGGGCACCCAGCCCTGGAGAAGCTGCGCCGGAGTTACCACCAGTGGCTGATGGACACACGGCAAGAGGAGCGAGCCGGTGAGCTGCAGGAGAGCCAGGGGGATGGACTAGCAGCCATCGGCCTCTACCTCAAAGCCGGGCTCCCTGCCAAAGCCGCCCGACTGGTGCCGGCCCGGGAGGAACTGCTGGCTAACACCGAGCTGGTAGAACACGTCACGGCAGCCCTTGTCAAGGGGGAGCTGTGTGAAAGGGCATGGCTGGCTTCCCGTCCCCGTCCCTCCTCTCCAGGACTCGGCGCTCCCTCCTACCCAGGGGAGTCCTGGAGTGCATAGCCCCCCAGATCTGGTGGCTGAGTCTCCAGCTTTGGGGCTGATACTTGATTCTTAGTGTAGTAGGGCTGTTGTTGCATCACGTGGTATGTGTCAACAGGCCGGTGATCTCTTCGAGAAGATTCGAAACCCAGAGCGGGCCCTGGAGTGCTACTGTCAAGGCAGCGCATTCATGAAAGGTGCTGCCCCGGACAACCCAGCCTTCCCTGTTAGAGTCTTGCCCGAATAGTCCCCCTGCACCAATTTTGTGCATGCGTTCTGGTGGATCGGCTCAGTTCTCCATCCCTCCACTTCTCACCTGTTTTCCACACCCCACTGCCCTGAGTCCCATCCCTGGAAGTCTTTGCTGAGTGCCCTCTCTGCCCCTGGCAGCGGTGGAGCTGGCTCGGTTGGCATTCCCAGTGGAAGTGGTGAGACTGGAAGAGGCCTGGGGGGATCACTTGGTGCAGCAGAAGCAGCTCGATGCAGCCATTAATCACTACACTGCAGCCAGGTAGAGGGGTGCAAAGGCGACTGGGTGTGAGGTCCAAGGTGATGGGGCAAGTAAGGGCACCGAGGCTCCAAGAGAGATGGCACCATGTAGGTTGGAGTAGGCTTGAGGTGTCTCCCTACCTCTACCTGTCTTCCTCTTGCCTCACACGCTTGGATGCCTTTCCCAACTCTGCCAGGTGCTCCATTAAGGCAATTGAAGCTGCCCTGGGCGCCCGCCAGTGGAAGAAGGCCATTTATATATTAGATCTACAGGACCGGAACACTGCGTCCAAATACTATCCCCGCGTGGCCCAACACTATGCGTCTCTGCAGGAGTATGAGGTGAGGAGAGTCCCTTGCTGGGGCTGGAGGCAATGCAGTACCGAATGAGAAGAGAACCCAGAACCGGAAGTGGGGGCCCCTCACCAAATCCTTCTTTCTGGGTCCAGCAGCACCAGCCACCCTGAGCGAGAAGAAAGCAGTTTACTTCCCTTATTTCATTCCAACATAACATAGACCCCTCTCCCAGACCTATAAAGCGAGTCTCCAGCTCTCTTCCTATGTAACTCCATGGGAGTTCCA